TCTTTCTCTCTTTCTCTCTTTCTCTCTTTCTCTCTTTCTCTCTTTCTCTCTTTCTCTCTTTCTTTTTTTCTTTCGCAATTTTATGGTCTTAAAATGAAATTTGAGAAATGATTAAATCCACAAAATAATCAACTTTTTACATTAGACATAAAATATCCATCTTATGCCATGCTTCAAATAACATAAATTGAAAGTATAGTTTCCTTGCAATGAGAAATAGATTCTGCAATTTAAATTTTTCTTTCCAGAGGAAAGTCAAGCAAGCAAGTGAGAGGGATTTCCGTTATCAGGTAACACTGTCATGTAACATTCCTTCAAGTTGCATGCTGTTTATGTTTGGATGTTGTAAAAATTGGTCAAGAATAATATATCCATGTCTTCAGTAATTCTTTGCATTTTAAACAACATAAATTATGCATGAGCAATTCAGGCTTTTTCTGGAATATGCTTACTGTTTATTTTATCTTTTAAGACATAATTATAAAATAAAAGAAATACATTTTATATTCTACAGTATTTTGTGGTAAATTTGTTTTTCCTGAATGTTTTACTCTTTATTGTAGCTAATTGATTTTCTGAGAATAAAAACAAATTTTAAAGTTTAATAATCATAATTAAAACTAGACCTGAATTGTGGGTTCATTTTGTTATCAGCTGAAACTTATAGCAGATCAAATTGTAATTCAGCATGATTGTTACTTTTTACAGAAAGATTATTGCTGATATTCTGTGGAACAGAAATCCATTGTATGCTTGTCACATCCTGTGTCATTTACATGTTGTGTCATTTACAAAATGTCCCAGCATTTATAATTCCCAAATGTGATGCATTGGAAGATGAATACAGAATTAATATGCATATAATTTTCATATTATATTATTTATAACCAATTACTGAATTATATTACCTTACTTTAATTTAAGTTCTTATGATGGAAACAGTATAGCAACATTTTATAACAGAGTTTCAATTCTCAATATTTCAGACAGACCTAGTAACCCATGACATTTTTTTATGTCTGATGAATGGTTTTGTAGTGTACCTATGTCCTTCGGTGAGACATTCTGTGCAACCACATTTCTTGCATATTGCATGATGTTCATAACTGTTGACATGTAAGTAAAGAATTTAATAAAGTTTGACAACTATTAATTAGCTCTATGAGAGTAATTTCTAGATATGAAGTTCAAGTAATAAAAGATTCAAATGCCTCATATGAATAGCACACAATGTGTGGGAGATAATGTGGTGAATATGACGGGGAACATTTACTGCAATAGATGGATATTGTGCAAGCTACATGAGAGAGAATATGCAGAGAACACAGAGAAAACATGTAAGGGGCAAGTGGGAAACATGAGGGAATATGTAAATGTGAGGAACAGCTGAGGAAACATGCAGGGTACAGGTGAAGTCTGGGTTACTTTACTGAAGCTATATTCTTCAAAATGAGATCTTTTTGAACTTTCTGTTACATTTTTGGAGGTTCTGAGTACCTCCTATCCCTTCACCATAGAACTGATGATTGAAAACAAGCAGAATTTTCAAGTATACATAAAATTTAATTAACATTTTGATGCACTGTGCAATTTAATATCAGAAGTGTATGTCTTTCTAATTGTTAATAAATCTTTACCCACATTAGAATGATTACCCTAGTGCAGTAACAGCCCTATGACACTGTAATGCATAGATGGCCATTTGAATTTGAATTCTGGTTTGAAGCTGTTTTCACTTTTAAAACAATTATTTACAAAGTATGGGATGTTTTCACATGTCCAACTAGCGTTCATTAGTAAGTGGGTGGTCAAATGTATTTAAAGCTGACTATGTAAGCAGCATAAATGTCAATATTCCTTATAAAATGGGGCTGAAAACATTAATAAATTCACATATGTACATTTCTACATTGATGTTACATCTCAGGCAAACTTGGTCAAGAGAGGTTTGCAAAATATAGCTGAAAAATTAGGAGTATAAAATTGGCTATTTAATTTGTGCATAACCATTACAAATCAGAATATGAGAAAGTCTGCTCTTTTTTAGCACCAGTAGCTTATGCGACCACTGACTCTTTTAACCTACTCTGAAAAAATTTCAATTCATGCCATGAATACTATTTTGTGTGTTTAGTGTGCAATGGTATTAGCACTCTATGATTATGTTATTTCGTTGTCATATTGAAAACTCATTTATAGTTTATGATTTAAATTAATAATTGAACTGTTTGTTCTTACATGATTTCTGTTCTTCGCAATATGGCCTGATTCCTTTTTTGTTCAAAATCTTCATATTATTTAGTTATAAGTTCAGTAAATTTATGTTAAAAATACATTTTCCTTCATGTTTTTAAATTAATCAACATGAAAAAACTAAATAAAGTTTTTTGGAGTTTGGTATGCAAGATAAAAATACTATTATACTATATTATTATACACTATATTATACTATATATATATAGTATATATAAGTATATGTATTAGAAACTATTAATCATCTTATTTATCAAAATGCACTTGCCTTGAAGATTTTGCTTTACTTGTTCTTACTCTCACATTTTTGGCTGGGAGCTTTGGTTGTTTATCTCTATTTGAGTTGATTTTCTGTGTTTGATGAGATTTTGCATGTTGGCTCATTGGCTATTTTAAAATAACACATTTGCTTGCTAGTACACACCTTTCAACAATTCAAGATATTTACAAACTTTTGTTTCTGAGAACTTGTATTTTTGACATTAAAATTATGATATATTTTAAAATAATGAATGTTTATAAGTTAAAGTGGAACATTTGTACTTGTTCTTTAGGGTATCATGCGAAATCTTGTCCGGCGTTATGTTACTGTGGAGCAAAGAAAGGCTGAAAATGAAGGTGTCACCGAAGATGATGTAAATGAAATCAAACAAGACATATCTGCTTTCCGTTGTGAACTCATTGAAATTCTTAAAAACTCAGGCATGAATACTTCCACTGCAACTGGTACAGGAACTGGTATGTTTTCCTACATTAACTTTGTACATATTTTAAAATTTCTGTTTCATGTTATGATAGTGTTTAATTACTTATAAAACATTGTGCAAGGCTAGCAGAAAACACATAGAACACTCCATACTCATTTTTGATTGATTTGTTTTTATTGATTGAACTTCTTTAACAGCTTTTGCACATGTTTTATTTACACATGTTTGATCCTGCCTCTACATCTATGCAGCCAATTTGCTTATGAAACCTTCTAACTTGGAGTCAGCAGTGTTACTGTGTATATACTTTGTTTTTGTTTGTTTGTGAAACGTTGACTCTCCAGGTTAGAGAGAGCTGAGATAAGTAGATACTTTATTGGAATGATTCATGTATTATTTTGAGGAAGAAACAATGTGTAATGTATTCAAAACAATATTATCTTTTCTCCATTTACTCAATTAAAAATGTTCACTATACAGGTAATATTATTTTCTCTCTCTCCATACATCAGAAAAACATTTCTCTCTTCCCCTGATATCATGAGTGTTTATTATACATAGAACTACAATGAAAAATGTTTTCCTAAAATATTAATTTTATTCGTCTTTTTGGAAAAAAATAAAAAATTGCAATTGTAATGTTTAATCACATTCAATTTTCTTACCAATTAAACTGTGTGAATAAAAATAAGAACAAACCATTTAAGCTCTTGTTTTAAAATAAAGTGATTAGTGGCAGGAATCTATTTATTATACTGGAGCAGAAAAAAATGTCATTACGAATTGCCATTCCTATTTTTGTCAGGGAGGTAAATTTGTATACTTCAGTGGAGTATGATGTTAATAGAAAAATTTTATATCAAATGCAAAGGTAGTGAGTGGACACATTTTATTGATTTTGTAAAAAGTGCACCAGTGCTTTAACACAATGGCTTAAAATTTACTTTTTTCCTATTGGCACTCCATTACACCCTAAAAACATATTAAAAAATTATGTAACTCTTGTAGTATTGTAAATTATGTAGCTCTATGAAGAATAAAATATCTCAATCATAGCTGAATAATTTGTGAAGATCTGAAAACATTCTTTGTATTTGAGCAGTAAGTTCCATGAACTGCAAAGTAGCAATATTTTTTTTCAAGGTCACATCAACATCTATGTTATAAGCGACCACTATTTCATTTAACAGTATGGTAACTGTGATGATGACATGATATGGTGATGATAGGGGGTGAAAGGACATACACAAATACAACCATGCCTAACGCAAGACTAAAACCTGCGATCCTTCGGCCGCGACTACAAAGGCACTATTGCCTTAATAATCTCAGCCCTCCGGACTGCTAGCAATGTTTTTTGTATGAATGGGATAACACAGAAAGTTGATTCTGGACACATAAGCAATTCGTTTTTCAAGAACTTTGTTTCAATCTTTCACCAGGAATATTTAATGGATGGAAAAACGAGAAAAAGCCCCCCACTCCCTAGTATTCTTGCTGAGAAAGGCTCTGATCGGTAGTTTCCCATGTTTTCTCTGATCAGTACAGACAAATGCTAGAGCCAATGCTCTAACAAACCTTCCATGGACTGCATGTGATCTTTATTTTTCATCTTGTCCCTCCTACCCTTACACTTACACGCCATTACACTACCACATACTTCAGGAGCCTAGTCAGGAGCTTGTTCCAATTGCCGTGTTGCCTCAGTGGGGGGAGATATCCAAGGGGGAATAGCTGGCAGCTGGTTGGCTCTGAATTTTGGCATTCCAGGAGGGGAAGGCCACCACCACCACCACCTCCCAGAACAACATGCAATACACTTACAGGACTGATGACCTAAGTATTTTATATACCCGAAAACAAAACTGTCTTACTTACTTGTAAAAGCATTCCCTTCAGGTTTTTTTTCTAATGCAAACAAAAGGCATTTCAAGACACGTGACTGTTAATAATTGAACAACTTTTGTATTCCAAATAAGCTTTAGGGGTCATCCATAAATTACGTAATGCTAAAGAGAGGGGGGGGGGTTGCAGCAGCATATCTGAATCTTAATTTTAATGACCGATGTTATTCTATATATTAATGTATTCGGTATTTTTTTTTTACACATAAACGACATATAGATGAAACTACTATTTAATTTACAATAAAACAGTTCTAACCTACAAAACTGACTTTTAAAGAAGACAATGAAAGAAAAAAGTTTTAATATTATTCATTGGTGTAATTGTTAAAATGTACATGTGTGTGGTACCTTTAAAGAAATTATCCTTAGAATCTGGTGAATTAAATATAATATGCACAAATGAAAATTCATTATTTTCTTCTAGGTTCTGGAGGCAAGAAAAATCGACAAAAGGAAAGGAGGCTAATGAAAGGTTTCAACATTGCACCAGCAGCCAACAGTTCCAACCAACTTCCTACAGTGTCAGAGTTTATGGCTAGTCTTGACCAAGATCCAAATGCACCCCATCATGGTTTACAGGATATTTTTGGCTCTACAACCTCTGGCATTTTTGGTGGACCTGGGTCTACACCTAAAAAGTCTCCGCATCATACACATTCAAGCAACAATGTTCCTGCAAACGGTGATCATGCACATCGTGTTCTCAGTCGTCTAGCTCCAAGGTTTCACATTAAACGCTCATCATCTCATAAAAGACGGTGGGGAACATTGATAGAAGCAGCAAAATCAGGTAGAGTGAGTCGATTAATTGGCAGAAGTCGATCAGAAGATTCAGTATGCAATAGTCATTGTCCCCATCACAATAACGGGTCATGTAGTACTCATAGTCACAGTAATAGTCCTGCTTCAGATGACAATATTACAGAATCTCCTTCAGACTCAAATCCCAGTCTTGTTGATGCATCTGTTGGAGGTGGTGGTTCAATTGGGATTCGACTCAGTGCTTTAGAAGCATTGAAGCGAAAAAGAAAGAAATTTTCAGCATCTCGAAATGTGAATGTGACTGATGTTGCTAGTGATGTTATTACACAAAAAGGAGTATGTTGTGTTGCTAAAGGAAGTAAGAAACAATTGCAGCGAGCTTCAAGTGTGCCCACACGTGCTTCAGAATCTGTCACAGTGACAACACATCGTCATGACCAAGTACAATCACAGCAGCAATCCGTCGAGCTTAACCCTGTGCAGCATGAGATTTTGACTCCCTCAACCACTGAGGAAAGTGTTGTAGCCAATCCAGGGACAAGTGGGGTGCAAGGATCATCATCCTTGTCAACACATCAGACACGTATCCGGTCTTCTGCTACTGCGGGCAAATCGCAAGATGCACCCTCACAGAAGCCGCCTCCACCTGAAAATAAACCTCATAATGGATCTGTTGTGGTCCTTCCTAATTTACCAGGAATTCAACCTGTGAGTGGGCACAATGTTTCTGCTGGTTGGCTTTGAAGAGAAAATAAATCAGTATTTTTTAAGAATATTTATTGTTTCATTGTCTCAATAAGTTTAATACACAAGAAAAATGTTTTCCAGTAATTTGTGTTATAGGTCCAGAAATGGCTAGATGACATGTAAAACCAAACATTTCTTGGGCATTATATACAATGAAACTACGCACTTACCATTAATGTCCAACATAACAATTCTTCAATCATTCACTTAGATCTGTAAAAAGCAGACTCAAATATATGCCCTCTGGTGTATAAATATCAATTGATAGTTTTATACAAATACTTTAGTATTCTCTTTGAACACAGACTGTAGATAGTAGTACCTGAAACTGTGTACTTCTTTAATAGAACTGGCAATATGTTGTGACTTAAATGTATTTGTAAACCCAATATTGGATGTTTCCTCTACTGGGCAAAATCAATCCAATGCACAAATCATTTTAAAAGACTTATAAAATAAAATTTATGTTAGTGGTTATTGCTGATTTTGTTTTGTTTCAGCCATATCATTTTCTAACATTAAAATTATTAAACACATTCATATATTCACCTTCTGTTTCCAACATTATCATATTTTACTGCACAGCACTGCTTTTTATGTAGAATAACATCTCTGACTTTCCTATTAGCATCTGTTACAGTGATCAAGATATACAAACCAAATTCATGAACCTCTGGGAACAAGGAACAATAAGAGTGTGTCATATTTGTGTGATAATGAATTGTCATAAAAACTTTCTGTTCATTAACTTGTTCATATGAACCTACTACACAAAGTTATAGAAACACCTTAAAAACACGAAGGTACATTTCAAACATAATTTTCATTCCCATGTGCATTGATAATTAATTTTATTCTGTGATATTAAAGAATAATTAAATGAATAGAGAATAATTATTTGAAGATGTGTTGAACTACGTGCGCAAAGGCAGAAGAGTTGAGTAGTAGTTTGCAATGCTTATATTTATTCAAATAATTTATTTCAGAACAAAAATTCAATTAACATTATATGTGTAAATAAAATGTGCGTGCTATTGAGAGATATTTTTTTGACAAAATTCGTATTTCAATGAAGAATGAAAAAAATATTTGGTACATACATAGTACTTAACATGTTGATAATGATTAGTTTGACTTTCTTGTCAATAATTCATCATTTCTGATATAATATAAATATATTATGAGTATTGTGTATTCATATTTTTAATTCACTTGTGTCTTATTGGGTGAAAAGTTTGTTACTATCAAGAAGCTTTTGTTTCAGAAAAGTGTATTACTTAATAATAATGATTTGTATTCCAAAGGTAAAATGACACACCTCTGATTGGGTGCTTGCTTTTCCTTTTTAATATCTGTGGTTTTAGATGTAAGAATATTGTAAGAATTGTCATCTTGGCTGTTTGATATTGCTTCCATGATTGTTGTAGATTATGAAAAGGCACTGAAACTGCCCAATTGTAATTTATTTCTGATTATGTATTATTTGAACCTTATTTAATTCTAATAAGAATTTGCACAAATTCACACATGGTATGATGTTATGGGGAGGAAACAATATTTTTATATGCTGTTCCTCAGAAAGTTCTTGTTTTTAATATCTACATAAAAATAATTATGTATACATAGTACTTTATTGTTACAAGAAAGAATTTTAAATGGCTAATATCAAATTTTAATCTCCCAATAGTTGACAGAGAGGCATAAGTAGGAGGTAAATAGAAGATTAAAGGTAAATGGAGTGGCATCTGCTGATGATTTAAAAAGGATAAATATGAAAAATAAGATATCTGTCAGAGCAAGGTGAGGTAATCCTATGATTTTCTCTTTTCCTTCTTTATTAATACTTTGTTTTCTGTTCATGGTATAAGATAGCCTGTTGACCATTGTTGTTGTAATTCCAGTTTCATTTAAGACTTTAATGTTGCAGACATAATATATACACACTGTCATAGTTGTACATATCATATTTCTCTTGAAATTTGTCTCCAGAGCAAGTATTTAGTTAATGTGAATTTTCTGAAATGATCAGAAAGTGGTATTTTGTTGCTCTGAAATTTGTGATTTATCTGGGTAAAGAATATTTGTCTTTATATGCTTTTAAATACGTTAAACTTGTATATTTCACACATATGTATAATTTAATAGATATGTTTATGTAGTCAACTAACATGTGTGGTAAGTACCTATGTTTTATAGTATGTTACATTATCATTGTAATCAATGCATCTGAAATGGAAACAGATACTTGTCTCGCAATAGCCTTGTTGTGAACTGAAAAAAGAAAAAGACAAGAATAATTTCACTCCTAAATATTCAACTAGGAGTCTTGAACACCCTTTTACTTCTCTGGTGAAAGAATTTATATGTAAATATATTTGATTGCATAGCTTTTATTGAAAAATTTATGAATTAGCATACTGTTCTCTGAAAGAACTTCAATTCATAGTCCTAGTACTTCCTGAACTATGTCTTGGACAATTATTAATGTAATATTTTTAAATACAAAAAAAATGAATTCCTGCTCTTGGGGGAGAGCAATAACAATAAACAAAAATTGGTTTTTTTGCAGAAATTGAGGAATAATCCTTATTTGCAGAAATATTTGTCTGACAATATTGTTACTTTATTTTTTAATGCTTTTGTATAATATTTTTGTTAAACATTCATTCAGCTCAATCAATAATTCAGTTAGTTGCCAAAGTTAGTTACAATTACAAGTTCAACAAGAGTTCCTTAATTTGCAAAGTTAGAGCAATTGATTGGTAAAATGCAGATTATATAGTTTGTGCAAGAAAAGAATAGTTGTTGGAATACTATGTATAATGATGGTTTGGAAGGGAGGGTTAAATTATCAATATCTTAATGCATAAGGCAAAACTTGAATAGAAATTGAAAATCTTATTGAAAATGGCACTTATTACTGTTTCAAAGTGAATCGCAGAAAAAAATTGTCAATTTATATTACATTGATTCCATTTTATTTACATATAATTAATACAAAACTGTGACACAAATCTTCATTGATGTGAAAATGTGTCACATATTGTTGCCGTTCTTCCCAAGATATCAATGCAGTTATAGCTAGATATGTATCCTCTTAATATCTTTCGAACTATTTGCTTTGAATACACATATTCAGTACAAATTCTAATAACTTCCCCCTCTTTGCATCTTACCTTTTGAGTAGATTCAAGAGTAAGCAGACATGATTGTTCATGAATCATTTATGGATGATAAATTTAATATTATTTGCTTCATGGAAGTCATGTGTGTTTGTTTTTGAGCATTATAGAATTCATCATATTTGGAAAAGGTTTAAAAGCAATATAGCATTTATGTTGTTTACTTTTAATATACACGTGTAGATGCCACTTTTGAAACTGCTACATCATGTTAACAAGTCTGACATCTGCTATAACTGAATCAACTAATCAGATTCTATCACTAATTTTTCATTGTTTAAATAGGAACAAGCGTGTATGTAGAACAGATATGAGGATATATAATAATAGAAAGGATTAGTTGATTTTATTTCAAATTGGATTTCATTCATAAATAAATCTTGATTGAGTCATCAAGTTATCTGTCTGAAAAACATTTGCAATAGATAAAATTTATAACAATGGTAGGGGACCACATCACCATACATTTCTGCTTTGACATATTTAAATCAGATAAGAGAAAACTTTTCAAAAGAAAGCTATGTATTGATATTTGTAAATAATGTATTGTACTCATACTTGTGAAATGACAGAGGCCTTAATATACCATGTTATAAAAATGCATGTGCATTTTTCTATTTTGTTTTAAAAAGTGTATTTCCACATTTCACCTATTATAGTTTTCAGACTTTTTAAATCCTGATATACAATTTGAGTTATAGGAATAAACTTTTGTACCGAAAATCTATTATAAAACAACCGAAAGTATTTGAATGGATTGCTTAAAGCTATAGAGCATCCATGTATGTAACTGAAAACAATGCGTATTGCCTTTTGAAAATAATTTGAGAATAATAATATACCCTAAATATATATAATATAATATAAATAACCACCCTAAAGGGTTGTTCTTTTTCTTTTCTTCCAACATTTTTCACTTTCTTTTTTCTTTTTTCCCTCAATTCTTTTCTTTTTACCTTTTCCTGTAAGCTGCAGCACACTTCTTTTGGTAGAAAATAAGTAATGTATGAAATGCACCCACGTTCAAAGTAGGTCATCAATCCAAAACAAGTTCTCAGATCATTCAGGTAATACTAATGAAATGGATTAAATATGGTGTCATCATTAATATCTTTCCTGTTTTCAGAGAATTGTGATGAGAGTTCTCTGCCATAAAAACGCATTTTTCTTTTATTTCAGAGTTTGTTTTAGAAAATAAGGATGAACACAAATCAAGAACGAAGAAAATGGCGATCATTCGAAATAATAAGTCATTAAAATTTTGCAAATGTATTTATTACAGAAGATAGAAAATGAAAACGTATAAAACAAAGTAGACTCGAATGATTCCAGGATCACAGCAAGAGGACTGCTAGTAGGTGTCGTTGGTGAGGTAGGAGTTTAGAAGGGACCACACGGACACCGACAGGAGGATGATGGAGGAGTTGACGACGAAGTGGCGGGGCCAGAGCGGCGCGAGGTCGTGCTTGTGCTCGCCCAGGTCGCTGTCGGAGTCGTCGATGGCGTCCGAGAGGGCCCCCAGCGCGCGGCGAGCTGAAACTGGAAGCGGCGCGTGAAGGCAGGCGGAGGGCGCGGCGCTGGTGGGGGCGGACGGCGGGGGCGTGGCCGCCTCCACGAACAGCGCCGCCTCCACCGTGTCCTCCAGGAGCAGGTCCGAGCTGCCGGTGACGCTGTCCGTGTCGGAGCTTTCTCGCGAGTGGCCCTTCTGCGGTAGGAAGTAGGTGTCTGCGAAGTCCCAGCCCTCCGGAGGCGGCTCGCCCTCGGAAGAAGCCTCCGCCTGCCCGCCCGAGTCGCCGTCCGTCACGTCCCTCACGCTGCGCAGGCACACCAGCTCGGCGGACGGCGCGTCCCCGTCCAGCGTCTTGAACGACGTCTCTTCCTCGCTGGGGGGCGTGACGCTCCCGGTCGGGGAGGCGGATTCCTCTTCGGACGCCACCGACGGCGACGAGCTGGACGCGAGCGGCTCTTGGAAAGCGGGAATCGCAGGAAGGACGGAGTCGACGAACGGCACTTGGATGACCGTCTCCTGCGCTTTGTGCAGCGTCATCTGCCCCGCGAGCGCCTCCTGCTCGCCCTCCAGCCCTTCCCACTCGACTTCATACTCGGTGAAGCAACGCGGCACCTGGAAGAAGCCGCGCCCGATGTGCATGGGGAAGAGTTTCTCGAGCAGGCGACGTTGCTCGTCTCTAGTCTGGAAGACGAAATTTTTGATGCTCAGCGGCTCCAGCGTGTGGAGCGCGTACGTCGAGCGAAAAAGCGTGAAGCCGCCGGCGCTGCGGTGCAGGTACTGACCTGCGGAGGCGAGGTGGCGGCGCGTAGCGGCGCCGGCGCCCTCGCCCTCGCCCTCGCCTTCGGCCTCGCCCGCTTCCTGCACCTCCGCCTCCGCCTCCGCCCACGCGTACACGGGCTGGCCCTTGTGCAGGTCGCGCAGCTCCTGGCGCGGAGAGCCGCGCTCGGCGCGCGTGCGCTTGCTGCCGGCCAGGCGCTGCTGCTGCATCAGGCGCGGCACGCTCAGCCTCTTGAGGCACGAGATGCGCTTGGAGAGCGCCTGCAGCGCCTCCGACAGCTGGTTGAACGACTGCACGCACGGGTCGTTTTCGTCCTCCTCCGCCTCCGCCTCCTGCTCGTCCGTCAGCCCAGAGCTGTTTTCGTCCGCCGTCGAGATGTAGGACGCGGACGAGTTGATGAACTTGCTGGCCGACACGGACGGCATGATCACCTCGAGCGGGGGCTCCGGGCCCGGGCGGCGCGCGTAGCTGCGGGCGTAGCTGCGAGCCTCGCTGAGTTATGTGCTGGTGGCCACCATGGTATGTCGCTCTTGCCCGAAGCTCTCGCTGAGCGACGCCGGCGAGTCCTCGTCCGCTGTCGGTGGCGGGCCGCGGAGGCAACGCTGGCGCTGTTGCTGCTGCCAGGCGGCGCGAAAGCAGTCCACGAAGGAGAGCTCAGAGTGGTGCGCTGGCGCGGGCGCGGCGGGGACGGGGCGGCGCCAGGGTGGAGCGGTGGCGCGGCGGCGCGCGGAGGGCGGCGCGGCGACGGTGGCGCCTGCGGCGGCGGCAGCGGCTCCACGCTCTCCTCCGATGCGGCGCGCTTCAACTCCTTGCGACACACCAGTCGACAGATTCGTGAGCAATTAATGACGGTAAGACAGAGATGGACAACTGAAGAGCATAGGGGGGATTGATGACATTCAACGTTTAGGGTTCTTATCCCTTATCGTGAACCGTGTCAATGAATCTACTCATTTCCAGCAGAGCATGGGGAACGGCATCAGGAACCCCCGTCTCAATGACCTAGTTAGAGGGGAGCGGGGGGTCCACCCGGGGGTCACCATTTTAGGGATACAGCAATTAGCAAATTTTATAGTTAAAATTATATAATTGTTTATTTGAAAATTATATTTCAATTATTCTGAATTACATACAGTTTTTTAATATATCATGTATGCCATGTGTAAATATACTTTTATTTTTATTAAATAATGTATAAACTATTCAGACACAGCTATTTTTATATTTAATTTAGTGGGGGTGGTCCCATTAGTTTTACCCCGGGTGACACCAACTGAAGCTACGCCACTGCCCCCGCCTATTACTTTTAGAGCGCAGTTGACGCTTCGCTATGCGTGCCAATGTTGATGAAGAGGCTCCGGCCTTCGCCCTAGAGAACCAACATAAAACGTCATTGATTTTAGCCAACGTATATCCTCCAAAGTATTATGTGCCTAAACACGAATTTATTTAAGACGATCACCAAAAATAGAAAGGACGTGTGTTCAAGACGTTCGTGTTGCTTTTAAACTAGTTTGAAATAATCCTTTTACAATTTATTGGTTTATTCACGTCACAAAATCTCTGCATACTTGAACATGTTTATCGCATGCCTATTCACACACTTTATTTCTTTGTGCCCAATATTGCGTTATTGCAGCCAGCGGTGTCTATTCTTGCGAAGGCAGTTGGTGTCGGTGATAAGAGGATTAGGGGTACCTCTGTCTCCCCCAGTGGCCGATCCGGAAAGTATTTTAGGGAGCATTTCAGTTAGGACTCCTATAAATGTTTTTTTTCTTAATTGTTTGCTTGGAATAAAAATTGTGTATGAGTAATGGGAATATTGTT